CATCCAGATCGAAGGGATGAATCCACCACTCAAGGGACTCTTCACACACGGGTACACCATCGATCCCGAAATTCCCTTGGCAGAAAAGCGACATCTGCTCCAGTGGGACAATAACATCGCGTACCGGAAAGGATCAACAAAAATCTGGGTACCCAATTACCCTCCTTTGCGCCAGTTATTACTCAAAGAATACCACGACGTCCTCTATGCCGGACAATTCGGTAGCAACAAGACGCTGACCGGTATCGCGAAGCACTACTACTGGCCCCACTTGGCAGACGATGTTCAGAAATTCGTCACCTCGTGTGATACATGTCAGCGGATGAAGGGCAGCAAGCAGAGGAAGGCGGGACTGCTACAGCCTCTTCCTGTCCCAGAACAACCATGGCAAGTGGTTAGCCTGGATTTCATCACCGGGTTACCACCTACCACCAGCGATCATGACGCAATCCTTGTCGTCATCGACAAGCTCTCTAAAATGGGACACTTCATCCCGACACACACGACAGCACGCACCGAGGAGACAGCACAACTCTTCGTTCGTTACATCATCTCACAACATGGCATTCCAACCACACTCATCTCCGACCGAGACCCCAAGTTTACCAGCAAGTTCTAGAAGGAACTAATGTCTCTGCTCGGGACCAAACTCGCCATGTCATCCGCCTACCATCCGCAGACAGACGGACAGACCGAGCGCCTCAACTAGATTGTTGAGCAACTTCTCCGAGCAGCCTGCAAGGACGAGATCTCCAAATGGGACTTGCACTTGCCCGTTCTAGAATTTGCTTACAACAACGCTACACATTCCGCTACTGGACAGACGCCGTTCTTCCTCTGCTACGGACGCCACCCACTCACACCACAGAAACCGACAACACCAGCAACAGTCCAAACTGCACACGACTTCATTACAACCATGCATCAGCTTTGGGATCGGACCCACAAGCGCCTCCTTAATATTCAGCAGCAGCAGAAGCGCCAGGCCGATCGCCATCGCAACAACCACACCATCACCGTAGGAGACCAGGTGCTCCTCGACACCCGCAACTTGGACATCAGCCATCTCCCATCTAAACTTCGACCTCGCTTCTGCGGGCCTTTCCTCGTTGAAGCACAGGTCACTCCTGTTACCTTCCGCTTACACCTGCCAGCTATCTGGAAGATTCACAACGCCTTCCATGTCCAACTTCTGAAGCCCTATCGGGATCCAAATACGATCTTCGTTGGACGCCAACCGCCGCCGCCGCCGCCCGTCCTCGTCCAGAATGAACCCGAGTACGAGGTCGAGTCCGTGCTTGCACTTCGCCGTCGTCGGAATGGCACCGTGGAGCTTCTTATTCGTTGGACGGGTTATGATCCTTCTGAGGACAGCTGGGTACCTTAGACCGACATGGGTAACGCCCGTCGTCCTCTGCATGACTACCTTGTCAAGCAGGGTGTTACTTCTACCACCCAGCTTTGAAGGGGGGAAGTGTGAGAGTATGACCCCGTTATACCACTTGTTCCTTTCCCTACTTCCTTTCTATTTTATTTCTCTTCTAGTCTCATTTTAATTGGTTTCCTATTCTCCATTTTCAATTATCCTTTGGTTTATCCTGGTATTATAATTATATCACCGACCAGGCTTGGGATGTACTGGCGCGCTCTATCTAGCGTAATACCTCCGTAATCCCTTAAAGCCAATAGCCTTGCGTGGCTATACGCAGGGTGATTCTATATTCTAGAAGGGTCTATTCCCTTTGGATAGGATAAACCTGGTTACCTGATGTACTATGGAAGTATAAAAGCGCCTTGTATCAATCGATAGTGCAATCTTTCCTCGAGTCATTCGATCCTGTGACAGCAATGCTCGCGAAGAGCTGCTGGGTAACCTCGACTTTGTCGAAGGTCGCCATCCCGTTCAAAACACGCGCGGAGGGGTTAATTCCAAAAACTCGGAGCTGGCACTTACCAGAATCGGTGCCGAATTAGTCGCCCCCCCGGCGGTTTTTCGAGGCAGGTTTTCCTGCTGCTGCTGCTTTGCTGAGCGTGGCCGAGTGAGAAAGGCTGTAATTACCAAGTTTCACAGGATCGAATGTGTCGAGGAAAAGTTGCCCTATAAATTGATACAAGGCGCTTTTATACTTCCAAAGTACATCAGGTAACCAGGTTTATCCTATCCAAAGGGAATAGACCCTTCTAGAAATAGAATCACTCTGTGTATAGCCACGCGAGGCTTTTGGCTTTAAGGGATTACGAAAGGATTACGCTAGATATAGTCCGCCAGTACATCCCAAGCCTGGTTGGTGATACAATTATAATAACAGGATAAACCAAAGGATAATGGAAAATGGAGAATAGGAAACCAAATGAGATGAGATAAAAAGAGGAATGAAATAGAAAGGAAATAGGGAAAGGGACACGTGGTGTAATGGGGTCGTACTCTCACAAGCTAACTCGCAGTTCTTTCCGTCCTCTGCAGACCCCTCGCTCTTCGTTCGTGCTGGCCAGACTCCGTTCTACATCCTTGTCTACGTATACGACATGGTCTTCGCTATTGCTGACAGAGACGCACTGGCCTCTGTGAAGGCAGAGCTGCTGAAGAGACACACCTGCACTGACCTAGGAGAGTTGCACCGCTACCTTGGCCTGCAGATCTCCAGGGACAGAGCAGCGCACACCATCACTCTCTCACAGTCACACTTGGTGCGCCATGTCCTTCACAGGTTTGGTCTTCAGTTCTCCTCTGCACAACCCACACCTCTGCCAGTAGACCACAGGCTCTCAGCTCCAGTTCCTGAGGAGTTAGTAGAGCCCAGTGGTCCTTACACAGAGCTGGTGGGTTGCCTCACGTCTTGATCTCGCATCTCCTCTCAGCATCCAGGCTCGCTTTGTGGCAGCAGGTTGATACCGACCGCAGCACTGGTCGGCCGCTAAGAGGGTTTTGCGCTATCTAGCAAGTACATCGGAAATGGGGTTAGCGCTAGGAGGAAGGGGGCCAATCATCCTTACTGGGCACATTGACGCTTCTTGGGCAGACGACGTTGAGACCCTCAGGTCCTCGCAGGGCTATTGTTTTAGCCTTGGTTCAGGTGCTGTCTCGTGGAGGTCCACTCGCTCCTCGTCTGTTGCCTAGTCCAGCTGTGAGGCTGAGATCTACGCTGGTGCCATGGCGACACCGGAGCTCCACTGCCTGACCTTCTTGCTCACCGACTTAGGTGAGCGGCCTAGCTCTGCCCCAGTCCTGTATGCTGACAACAGGGCCACGATCCTTCTGTGTCAGGAGCGTCGATTTGAGGGTAGAGCGAAGCACATCCAGCTGCGGTACTTCCTTCTGCGCGAGCTACAGAAGTGCCGCCAGGCTCGTGTAGTACACTTGACCTCCGGTACGAACACAGCTGCTATCTTTACGAAGGCACTTGCGCCTAAAGATCATCAGCAGCACTGTTTGCAGCTTGGTCTAGTTCCTGTAGACTCTCACTTGCCAGGACCTTAATTGTGTACTCCTATTTATATACTGTATATAACTTCCAGACCGGCCTTGTGGCTTCTCTTCCAGTGGTCGGACTAGTAGTGCCGCCCTTGTTAAAATTATATATTGTTTTTATTTAATTGGTAGGCTTGGTAGATTATCGAACTGTACTGTAGAGGGTACAACCCCCTCCTTGTATCCCTCTTTCTTTCTATTACAACCCAATTTTCTCTTGTCAACTTTCCTCTCTCTTAGTTCCTAGCTAAACCTTGCCGCCATCTCCGTGGCGGCCTTCTCTTCTTGGCTAGCCTATTTCGACAGCCCTGGTGTGTTCTTGTCTTGGTTTGCACTCTTGGTGACTGGTCTTCGGACCCCTGCTTCAGAGGTTGGACTAGTAGTATGACCGTGAGTTGCGTGTTCCTCGTTTTGCCCTGCCCCTTATCTAGCCTAGAGGGTGTGTCAACCCATACATATGTTTTCTGTAGAAGTTATAGTCTAGATCGGGTTATATTGTTAGGGGGTAAATGTTAAAGTAAGAACTGAATGATTGACTAGAAGTGGAAACCTAGAACAAATACTAGTTGGTTGTACTCACTAGAAGCATACCTCGGTCTAGCCTATAACTTCTACATAGCTAATATGTATAAGTTGACACACCCCCTAGGCTAGACAAGGGGTGAAGCTAAGCAAGAAGCAAACAGCTCAAGGTGGCACTACTAGTCCAACCACTGAGGCAGGGGTCTGGAGACCAGTCACCAAGAATACAAACAAAACTAAAGCAAGCCAGGGCGGCACTACTAGTCCAGCCACTGGAGGTAAGGCCACAAGGCCAGTCTGACAGGCATATATAATAGAGAGTACACAATCAGGATCCTAACAGGTGAGTAGCTACAGGAACAAGACCAAGCTGTACACAGTGCCGCTGATGATCTTTAGGCGCAAGCGCCCTAGTAAAGATATCAGCTGTATTGGCACCTGAGGCCAAGTGAACTACGCGGGCCTGGCGACGCTGCTGTAGCTCGCGCAGGAGGAAGTACCGCAGCTGGATATGCTTCGCTCTGCCCTCAAGCCGAGGCTCCTGACACAGGAGTATCATGGCCCTGTTGTCAACGTACAGGACCGGGGCAGAGCTAGGGCGCTCACCTAAGTCTGTGAGCAAGAAGGTCAGCCAGCGGAGCTCCTGTGCCACCATGGCACCAGCGTAGATCTCAGCCTCACAGCTAGACTGAGCCACAGACGACGAGCGAGTGGATCTCCAAGAGATAGCACCCAAACCAAGGCTAAAACAGTAGCCCTGCGACGACCTGAGCGTCTTAGATTCGTCTGCCCAAGAAGCGTCTGTGTGCCCAATAAGGACCACTGGCATGCGTCCTCCTAGCACTAACCCCATGCCCGATGAACTAGCAAGATAACGCAAAACCCTCTTAGCGGCAGACCAGTACTGAGGTCAGTGTCTGCCTGTAGCCACAAAGCGAGCCAGGATGCTGAGAGGGTATGCGAGATCTGGGCGAGTGCAAGTCATCAGGTACATGAGGCAACCCACCAGCTCTGCGTAGGGGCCACTGGGCTCTACTGGCTCCTCAGGAATGGGAGCGGAGAGCTCATGGTCCACAAGTAGAGGTGTGGGTTGTGCGGAGGAGAACTGAAGATCGAACCTCTGAAGGACCTGACACACCAAGTGTGACTGTGTCAGAGTGATGGTGCATACTGCTCTGTCCCTAGAGATCTGCAGACCAAGATAGCGACGCAGCTCTCCAAGGTCCGTGCAGGTGTGTCTCTTCAGAAGCTCGGCCTTCACAGAGGCCAGTGCGTCCCTGTCAGCAGTAGCAAATGTTGTAAAATATATATCTATACAACATGCATGCTTAGATTAGGAGGTGTAGTCATTCTAATTATTGGGGGTTGTTGGTTGGGTTGACCAACCCCACATTTGGGTTGGTCAAGATTGGATTTGGTCCTAGACATTTGGTTGGCACTATTCCAACCAAATGGTCCTTGGTCCTAGGAACCACCCAATCCCCAAGCACCACACTTTGTGGTTGCTTGCCTTCCAAGCAATCTCTCTCATTGGTCCACATTGTGGCCAATCGGAGAGCACCACACTTTGTGGTTGCTTGCCCTACAAGCAACCTCTCCCATTGGTCCACTTTATGGCCAATAGGAGAGCTTCCCTTCCAACTCTTCCTTGCTCCTTGTTTTGTACAAAAGAGCCTCTTGGCTCTCTACTCAATTCAATCTTTTCTCTTCCAAGCTAGTTCCTTCATGGTATCAGAGCCACAATGGCTCACGCCACCTCTAGTCGATCCTAACTAGCACGGCCGTATGCCGTTCCTCCTCGTCTTCGAAGCCTAGCCCTTCCTTAAGGCTCCTTCCCGCGCCCCCCGTGCGCCCTCTCCCGCCGCGCTATTCCATCGCGCCCGCTCTTCCTCTCGTCCCGCGCCTTTTTGCCGCGCCCGCTCTCCCTTTCGTCGTGCGCCTCCCGTCGCGCTTGATGACACGCTTCTAGCCGTCGCATCCTTCTACTGCGCCCGTTGGTGCGCTCCTCCGTCGCGCGGCCCGTCGTCGCACCCTCCCGTCGCGCCCTCCCGTCGCGCGCCTTCCGCGTTTGCGCGCACCCGTCCGTCGCGCTCTCCGCGCGCCCGACCGTCACGGCTCCCGCGCACGCCCGTCGACAAATTCTCCCACCGCGCCCGTCGCCTTTCGGTCGCAGCGCGCGCACGTCCGTCGGTCGATTTCTCCGCCGCGTGCGCCCGCCCGTCGTCGATTCCGCCGTCGCGTGCACCCGTTCGTCGCGCCATTTCGGCGTGCAGCCGGCCGCCGCATCTTCCTTGGAGCGCTTCGTGCAGCCTTCGGCGACTTAAGAGCTGCGCTCCGCGCACCTATCCTTCTCCTCCCTCCCCCCCTCTCCTCCTCCTTTCCTTTTCCTCCTCCTTTCCTTTTCCTCCTCCCCCCCCCCCCCCCTCCCTTCCCCTCCTCCTCCTCAATGGCGTCCGATTCCTCGGTGGACCTTACCTCCGTCGACGCTCTTGAGCTGCTGCCCGACAACACCGCGGTCAATTGGCATTCCTATGCCCAAACCGTCACGGTGCTTCTCTCCTCGGTGACGGTCAACGGCTACAACCTGAAAGCCGTTGTCCATCTCGAGGAGCGCGGTCTTCAGCCTGCCCAGCCGGATGCTCCGCGGGCCCTGCACCTCCTCCTCCTGGCGATGCTCCCGTCAGCCCTGGCGTTCCTCCAACCTTCGCCCCTGACGTCAACGACCCTCAGAGCTCCGAGACCGCCATCCGCACCTACCGTGCCAGCCTCACCGACCACGTCCGCCAGCAGCTGCTCTTCGAGGCTTCCCGCGCCGAGCATGACGCCGCCACTGCCGCCTACAACACGTATCAGGCGGCGCTCGCGGAGTACGTCAGGCGCGAGCGCGCATACATCACCGACCTCGCTGCCTGGCGTGTCGCTGACCGGCGCGCGCTCACCATCCTCCTCGCCACCATTCCTCCCACCCTCAAGCGCGAGCTTGCTCCCACCTCCTCCTCCCACCTCTGGCGGCTCCTCACTGATCTCTATGATCGGCAGGACGTCGCCACCCTCTACTCCCTCATCAAGGAGTTCCAGAGCCTCACCATGGACTCTACCACCGGCGCAGCTGCCTTCACGCGTCGCGTCCTCGACCTCGCTCGGCGCCTGGCGGCTCTTGGCGTGCCGTACCCGGACCCAGTACTCTGCTGCCACCTCCTTGAAGGCTTGACTCCTGCCTTCGACACCCATAAGATCGCCTACATGCAGCTGATCGACAAGCGCATCACCCGGGCTGAAGTCGCCCAGTGGATTATCACCACTGAGGCCGACCTCTTGCGCCATTCCTCCTCCATTGCCGCTGTTGCTCAGCAGCGCAACACCATGGGAGGGCGTGGGGGTGGGCGTGGCGCTGGTCGTGGTGGTGGCGCGGGTCGTGGTAGCAATGGCGCAGGACGTGGTGCAGCAGCCGCCTTTCCTCCTTGCCAGTATCTCCCTCGCTATGGCCCCACGCGGGGTCAGCGCTCATTTTCCACTCCTCCCTCCTCGAGGACTCCCATGAGGAGATCCTCAACCTCCACCTGCATGATCCAGCCCTCCTACCCATCTCCCCTGACCTCAGCGGCACACCAGTCTTCGCCTTCTCCTCCGCCCCCACGATCTTCGTCCCCGCCACGTACGAGGAGGCCATGGCGTGCCCTGACGCTCACCTCTGGCTCGCGGCCATCCTCAAGGAGTTGGAGGCGTTTATTGCCAACTCCTCCTTTGTGGATGTGCCACGCCCTCCCTCTACCACGAACGTGGTCAAAGGGAAGTGGGTGTTTCGGGTGAAGCAGCTTCCTGGCGAGCCGCCAGTCTACAAGGCCCGCTACGTCGCCAAGGGCTTCACCCAGCGCTACGCTGTCGACTTCTTCGACACCTTCTCTCCCACCGCCAAGCCCGCTACCATTCGCGCAGTCCTCGACCTCGCCGCTCGCCTCAACATGGAGATTCACTCCATGGACGTCTCCAACGCATTCCTCCAAGGGGTCTTGCGTGAGCTCATTTACATGGAGCGTCCTGCCGGCTTCCACCTCCCCTTTCCTTCCGACTCTGTCTGGCAGCTGCGTCGGCCGGTCTATGGGCTCAAGCAGGCACCAAGGGAGTGGCATGCCAAGCTTGCTGCCACCCTCGCCGAGCTTGGCTTCAGCACCTCCCATGCCGACCCCAGCCTCTTCCTCCGCACCTCCCCCTCCCCCTTCTACATCCTCGTCTATGTCGACGATATGATCCTCATCACTGCCGACTCCGCCGAGCTCGAGCGCGTCAAGCGTGAGCTTGGCAGCCGGCTCAAGTGTAAGGATCTAGGGGAGCTGCAGCACTATCTCGGCATGGAGATTACCCGCGACCGTGCTGCTCGCACCATCTCCCTCTCCCAAGGCCACTACCTGCAGCAGGTCTTGGAGCGGTTCGACATGGCTCGAGGCACCCCTCAGGTCACCCCTCTTCCTGTTGGGCACCACCTCACTCCCCTCACCTCCCCCTCCTCCTCCTCCCACCCCTACGCTGAGCTCATCGGCTCTCTCATGTATGCCATGGTCTCCACCCGCCCTGACCTGGCATACCCCATCAGCGTTTTGGCCCGCTTCGTTGGTACCGGCAAGCATGATACCACCCACTGGCAAGCGGCCAAGCGTGTCCTCCGCTACCTTCGGGGGACCAAGGACTACGTCCTTACCCTTGGCGGCCCCTCCCCTCCCCTCCTCACTGGCTACTCTGATTCCTCCTGGGCTGACTCTCGGCCTGACCGCCGCTCCTCTCAGGGCTATGGCTTCTCTCTTGGCAGTGGCCTCATCAGCTGGCGCTCCACCCGCTCCTCCTCCATTGCCCTCTCCTCCTGCGAAGCAGAGCTGTATGCCGCTACCATGGCTGCGCAGGAGGCCCGATGGCTCTCCTTCCTTCTTGAGGAGCTTGGTGCCCCTCAGCGCTGTCCCACCATCTGGTGCGACAACGCCAGCACCATCCACCTCACGAAGGATGCTGTGTTCCACGGGCGCTCCAAGCACATTGAGCTTCGCCACTACTTCATTCGCGAGCTTGTGCAAGGTGGCCACCTCCGTCTGGGCAAGATTGACTCTGCTGCCAATCTTGCCGACCTCTTCACCAAAGCCCTCCCCCACGCCGCCCACTCGTCCCTCCTTCGCCTTCTTGGACTCGCTCCCCCCGTTCCCTCGTCCGCCTCCTGATTCAAGCCCTCTAGTCTTATGCATGTTGGGGGGTTGTGTTGTAAAATATATATCTATACAACATGCATGCTTAGATTAGGAGGTGTAGTCATTCTAATTATTGGGGGTTGTTGGTTGGGTTGACCAACCCCACATTTGGGTTGGTCAAGATTGGATTTGGTCCTAGACATTTGGTTGGCACTATTCCAACCAAATGGTCCTTGGTCCTAGGAACCACCCAATCCCCAAGCACCACACTTTGTGGTTGCTTGCCTTCCAAGCAATCTCTCTCATTGGTCCACATTGTGGCCAATCGGAGAGCACCACACTTTGTGGTTGCTTGCCCTACAAGCAACCTCTCCCATTGGTCCACTTTATGGCCAATAGGAGAGCTTCCCTTCCAACTCTTCCTTGCTCCTTGTTTTGTACAAAAGAGCCTCTTGGCTCTCTACTCAATTCAATCTTTTCTCTTCCAAGCTAGTTCCTTCAGCAAAGACCAGATCGTCTAAGTAGACAAGGATGTAGAACGGAGTCTGGTCGGAACGCACAAACAGCGAGGGGTCAGCAGAGGACGGAATAAACGGTAGGTCTGCTAACGTGGCCGGGAGCGTGTCGTGCCACTCGCGAGGAGCCTGACGCAGGCCGTAGACCGGGCGCCTGAGAAGCCACTGGGTCCCAGGGAGGAAGGTACCAATGAAGCCCTGTGGTCGGCGCAGGTAGACCTGCTCGTGTAGGCTGCCCTGAAGAAAAACAGTAGAGAAGTCAGCGACAGCAACGACAAGCGCGTCAAGGCACGAGACAGGAACAGCAGGGTCGGTAACAAGAGAGGCAAGGACCCGAGGGACAAGGGGACAAGCGGCACGGAGGTAGTCAGAGAACGGAGGAGGTGCTACAGCAAGGGATGAGGGAGGAGGGGACGGGAGGAGGGGAGGACGAGACGAGCGGGAACGGAGCAACATAGGGTGGGTGGGCAGGACAGGAGAGACGGGACGAGCACGGGAGGGACGGCGAGCCCAAACGTGAGACGGAGGTGTAGGGTCAGGGGACAGCAAAGGGGACACGGGAGGGGAACGAGGAGGAAGACGGGCCGGAGACGAGTCCGGCGGCGGGAGGACCGTAGACAAGAAGGTCAGCAGGCGGTGGGGAAGACACCGGCGCGCGGTCCGGGGAGGGAAGGTTGGGGAGGGAAGACCGAGCAGGCGGAGAGCGGAGACCAGCGGCGACGGCTGCTGCGACAGCTGGGCTGGAAACCTCGGACCGGCAGAGGCAGGACGACCGTCGGCGGAACCCTCAACAGCAGCACCCCCAGAACCAACACCCCCAGAGCAAGAACCCCCTCCAACTCCAGCGGCACCCCCGGGAGCCGAAGGACGAACACCCTCCTCAACGCCAGCACCCCCAGAGGCCAACGGGGGCAGCGGCGGCGGCGGCGACGGCGGCTGCAGCGGCTGCGGCAGTGGCGGTGACTGCGACTGCGACGGCGGCGGCGGCGGCGGCGACGGCGACTGCGGCAGGGAAGGCAGAGACACCGGAGAAGGGGGACGCGGCAGGGACGGGCTGGGGGGACCACCAGAGTCGTAGACTCCTCAATGGGGACAGCCGACGGGAGGGGAGTAACGTGAGAGACACCAGATGGGGCAGGACGAGGCGGGAGAGGAGCAGGGGCTACCAGGGGAGAGGGAGCCAGGAACAGGGGCGGGGCAACCGAGAGACCTCGGTAAGGGAAGCGGCGGTAGAAGGAGATAGACTCGTCAAAGGTGACGTCACGAGAGTGGAGGAAGCGGTGAGACGGCGGGTGGTAGAAAGGCCAGTCAGACGAGTCCAGGGGAAAACCGAGGAAGACACAGGGGACAGTGCGGGCAGTGAGATTGTCCGTGCCAGAGGCACGAACGTGAGCAAGGCAGCCCCAGACGTGGAACGCAGACGTGTCACCGGGGGACCCGGTCCAAAGGAGGGTCGGCGAAACCTGCGGCCGCTGGGAGCGTGGCCACAAGTTAAGCTGGTGAGTAGCATAGCGAACAGCGAACGGCCACAGAAAATGGGGGGCATCGGCATGAATCATGGAGGTACGGGCGACCTCCATGACCAAGCCGATGCGGCACTCACCAACCCCATTCTGCTGTGGGGAGTCCGGCAAGGTGTACGACTGGGTGATGCCCTCCGCACGACAGAACTGTCCAAGCCGACCAGAGAAGAACTCTTCTTCTTCTTCTTCTTCTTCTTCTTCTTCTTCTTCTTCTTCTTCTTCTTTTTCTTCTTCTTCTTCTTCTTCTTCTTCTTCTTCTTCTTCTTCTTCTTCTTCTTCTTCTTCTTCTTCTTCTTCTTCTTCTTCTTCTTCTTCTTCTTCTTCTTCTTCTTCTTCTTCTTCTTCTTCTTCTTCTTCTTCTTCTTCTTCTTCTTCTTCTTCTTCTTCTTCTTCTTCTTCTTCTTTTTTTTTTTTTTTTTTTTTTTTTTTTTTCTGTTTGACGCAGCAATGTGCTCAACTCCAGCTTGACTGGCGCAATCCCCTCCTTTGCCAACTGCACGGCCATGGAGTCTTTGTGAGTGTTTGTGCCTATTTTTTATTGGAAAGGATGGTACTCATTTGCCTTGTTGGGATCGACATCCATACCTGGGTAATAATCACTTCCTCGCTGATATTCTCACAAGTGACCCTTGTATTAAAGTTACAAGGGTATAGGATGGAAGAGGCAAACATGTGAACATATTCACTCACTCCTCCAACCCCCTTTATGTATCTATTCAGTGACCACCATTTCTCCCCCTCCCCCCCTCCCCCTCCCTTGCTACGAGTCAGGTATCTTGATGTCGATGGGCTCACAGGCGTCCTTCCTCCGTGTCTTGGTGCTGCTGGTCCCTTGAGTGAATTGTACGCACTCCTCACTTACTTCCATGCATTCAACCCCTGTATGCACTCCTCACTTACATCCATGCATGCACCCTGTATGCAATCTTTCCCACATCTAGTTGCTACCATAAAGTATGCCTCAGGCGTAGTCTGCTGCTCCCCCCTCCCCTTTATAAACCTCTCCTGCCCCTCCCTTTGTTTTTGCCCTGTTTCTCGATGCCCCCTCCCTTCGTCCACTCTCCTCTCCCCATCTCCCTCTTTCTCTCCATCTCCCGGAATCAAGTGCACTGCACCTGGAATTGTGCGTTCCCTCTAGTTGCCCCCTTACCTTCCCCTCTTCCCTTCGTCTTCTCTCCCCTAACTTCATCCTCTCTCCCTTCCTTAAACTCCAGGCTTAAAACTTGTGGACGGCATTGCGAGGCGCTATATAACCAATTCCATTCCCCCCTCCCCCCTTCCCCCATCCCTTCCCCCGGCTCTTCCACCCGGCCTCATTCCCTCGCCCCTCCCATTCCATCCCCCCATCCCACCTTCCCAGGCTGTAAGGTAGTAGGATCAAGTGCCTGTAGATGGGATTGTGAGGCGCCTCTATGTGGTCCCTCCCCCCCCCACCCCACAATCCCTCCAACCCTTCCCACTCCTCCCACCCCTCCCACCGCTCCCAGGAATTACGGCCCTGGGATCAAGTGCCCCACGGATGGGGGCAGCTGCGAGGTGAAGCAGCTGAACATCAGCAGGTTCTGCAGGGCGTGCAACAGCTTCTGCCAGACATGCATCCCAGTGCCCGAGGACCCAGGTAAGCCAAGTGTGGTAGTGAGAAGTTTGTATGTGACTGTTAGGTGTTCATATTCTGCCTGGCATGCATCCCAGTGCCCGAGGACCCGTGTAAGCCAAGGATGTGCATATGGTTGGGTTGCGTAGGCGCCTTCATACCACTTCCATGCCCTTGGCTTTGCCACACATGCTTCTCAACGCCTGTGCAGTGATATAACTAAGCCAAGGGAACGAGGTGAGGGGCTCTCACATCCCCATGATCTTCTGCCGCACATGCATAGAATTCCTCCCACTTTCCCCACATCCTCCCTCCCTCCCTCCCTCCCCTCTCCCCACCGCCTTCCCTTGCTTCCTCCCTTCTCCCTTTCTCCCTCCCTCCTTTCCATCTCCCGCATTCTCCCTCCCTCAGACTCCTACCCCACCCCCACTTCCATCCGCTCCAGTGGTCCCGCCCTCCCCAATGCCCCCATACAACACCTACGACGGAGTTAAAAGCACCGATGGCTCGGGTGCTGCTGGTGGCGGGGATGCGACAAACAACTACTACAGCTCCAGCAGCAGCAACTCGAACGCTTATGCCAATGCATTGGGTTCTAGCTCTGGCTTGTCTACGGGGGCCATTGTGGGCATCTCTGTGGGAGTGGTGCTGGTGGTGGTGGGAGTTGTGGCGGCTGTGGTGATCTTTGTGCACCTGGGGAAGAAGCAGGAGAAAGACGGTGAGTTTAGGTCTAGAAAAATGCATGTCAGAAGCTGCATCTTGCACGGGCATTCAATTTTCCTTTGATGTTTTTAAACCACCTCCCCCCATTCTGCGTATTTCTTACCCCCCCCCACCTTCAGTTTATGTCACCCATCTGCCTGAAAATGCCAATGCAAGCCAGGCTGGTGGTTACCCTATGGATGGGCTGGCAAAAGTTTGACCTGCCTACTGAGGCATGATCCGGCTCGCATGCCATATTTAGCTTGATAAACATGGGTTCTTCTGGTAGGGGTTTTAGTGGTCTGATTTTCTTTAATGCACAATGTCCTTGTAGGGCTGTGCACTGTTCGGCGTTCGCGCTGGACTCGATAAAGCCACAGCTAATGCTAGAATTGTTTCTTCTTGAGTTGCAAACATTTGCGCTGATATATTCTCAATAGTGCATGTAATATTTTCTAGGTATGAAACGACATTTCCATCTTTTGGTCCTCACAAGGCTTGCTTGCTTGCGAAGAGTCCCCAAGTACTGTAACCCCCAGATAGAAGACCCTCCCTAGGTTAGGACCCTGGTTCCTTTAATTGAGTACAGGGGACTACGCGGATCTCTGTCGTCGAGGATCACTGCTGAATCCACGTGGCGTTCGGATAGAGCTAGACGATTGTGATTTTATTTCGGGCCAATCAGAGCCTCAGATTGCAGGCTTTTTACCCAGATTCAGGGTAAAATCAGGGCTTTTTTTGGGGTGACCCTGATGAGACAGAACGTTTTAAAGACATAGGCCTGAAATTTCAGCATTTTTTAGGAGTGAACTCTGATCGATCAGCGTTACTAGTGTAGTGAGCCCTGTTTGTCCAGATTCATGTAATAGTGGATTCGCAGCTCCCACCCCTCCACCCGTGATTTCCGTGAGTTTCCCCCACCCTCCCTGTCAATCCCCCCGACTTGAATGCGACCATCCATTTTTGTTTCCGACGTAGTCGTACTTTTAGAGCCCAATCCTAGCCTTGGTCCCTCTGCGCCTGCTGCCATTAAGAACCCTGCTACCGCATCATACTAGGCATATATTACTCAGCATGCTTTCTATGTTAGAGTAGCGGGAAAAAGTGTGACTAAGGGAAAATGTTGATAGGTACAAATGTAGGACTGTACCCTCTAAGAACTGAACTAACTAAGGCTATAACAAATATACACTAGCTAGCCTAGACAAATATATTTGTTGACACACCCCCTAGCCGAGATATTGGCAGTTCATAACAAAGAAAAGTACACCAGGGCAGCACTACTAGTCTGACCTCTGGTGAGTGTAATAAGAAGACTCAGGGCAGCGCTACTAGTCTGACCACTGAGACAAGAGGCTTCAAGGGCAGTCAGCAAGTGTAGCAAGACAAGCAGGTATAGAACAACAAGTACAGGCAGGTATAGTATGACTCAGGATACAAGAAGTGGTGCTAGACCAAGCTGAGTACAGAACCGCTGATGGTCACGAGGTGCAAATGCCTTGGTGAAGATATCAGCGGTGTTGGCCTCTGAGGCCAACGGTACAACACGAACCTGACCACGCTGCTGCAACTCACGCAGCAGGAAGTACCGCAGCTGGATGTGCTTCGCCCTGCCCTCAAGTCGAGCCTCCTAACATAGGAGGATTATGGCCCTATTGTTAGCAAACAGGACAGGGGCAGACCTAGGCTGCTCACCTAAGTTAGTGAGCAAGAACGACAGCCAGTGGAGCTCCTGAGCGGCCATGGACCCAGCGTAGATCTCTGCCTCACAAGTAGACTGTGCTACAGACGACGACCTGGTGGACCTCCACGAGACTGCACCAGCACCAAGACTAAAGCAGTAGCCCTGAGATGACCTTAGCGTCTCCAAGTCGTCCGCCCACAACGCGTCTGTGTGCCCAGTGAGCACCACTGACTCCCGTCCTCCTAGCACAAGCCCCAGTCCTGATGTACTCGCCAGATACCGCAGTACCCTTGGCAACCGACTAGTGGATTGGTCGGCGCCTGCCTGTCGCGACAAAGCGAGCCAGGAGACTGAGAGGGTACGCTGTATCTGGTCGAGTGTAGGTCATCAGGTACATGAGGCACCCCACCAGCTCTGCGTATGGACCACTAGCCTCAACCGGCTCAGCCGGAACAAGAGCTGAGAGCTTGTGATCCATAGGCAGAGGAGTGGGCTGTGCAGAGGAGAACTGAAGACTGAACCTCTAGAGGATCTGCTGCACCATATGGGATTGGGAGAGTGTGATCGTACAAGCGGCACAGTCACGAGAGATCTCCAAGCCAAGATAGCACCTCAGTTCCCCTAATTCTGTACAGGTGTGTCTCCTAAGCAACTCGCTGCGGTGGCGTGAAAATTTCTAGGGACCCTGATGAATCATGGAATTTTTTTTGGAGAGGCCTGAAAAAATAGGAGACCAAGGTGGGGCGGACTCTGAGCTATCAGGGTGCCTCTAAACGAATCTGAGGCCTTGGTGCCAATCAATCGTGAACTGCTCGCGCTAATGTGGCACTTGACAATTCCTGATATCGGTGTTTTTGTGCGGATACAGGTCTCAGACGCGATTTTGTTTAGGCAATTCCTGATACCTGTTCCGTAGAAATACGCCCTTATACGCAAAATTCAATTATAGGCCCCTCCCCCTTTGGAGAGTAGTTTTACTTTTAAACCAATATAACTATTGTACACGAGAAGAACATTTCAAAATGGCGGCACAGCTTTTGCCGAGTACGATTCCCCCGCTTTCGTGCACTCACGCGAAATCTAACTCTCTGATGGCTCAGACAAGGTTTCATCGCACATGTGCACGCAAGCCAGTGGCGAGAAGGGGTTACCGTTGAATCTGCGGCAGGGCCTCAGATATCAGGATGTTTTATCAAGAATTCCCGATTTTCAGGATGCCGGTTAGGTGCCAATCTAGAAAAATCCGTTTAAGGTCATCTGTCACCCTGTGAATTCAGTTTTGAATCATAGTGCAACCCTGCGAATTCAGTAAAGTGTTCGTGTACCAGCCCTGAGCCGTCAGTATGCCTTCGAGGATAACCCTGATTCCTCAAATCTTGTGAATGCACGTGCGCCACTTGTGTACCCGTTGTTTTTTCAGACCAAAAACATTTTAGCTAAGTCTTCGATGCTAAGCACAATCCTTAATGCTAGAGACAACCCTCCGAAATCCCCCTTCTGCTCTAAAATTTTGGCTAAATCCTCAATGCTAGAGACAATATTTTCCCCCCACTCCCCCCACTAGAAAATCTCGACTAAGTCCTCACTGCCAGAGACATTCCTCCACAACCCCTACGCAACCCTACAATTTCGGCTAACTCCTCATCGAATTCGTGATGCCCAGGTTACGTCGAATCAAAATCCCGTCACGTAAGGGCGCGTTTATCGCCTCTAGTCAAGGTTTTAGTCTAGTCAAGTGGGGCGCTCAGAGCTCTAAACCGCTCTATTCAAGCGCGCAAAGCTCTCAACCGCTCTGAAAGTTGGCTACTTGACTGGACTAGAAGCTCGACTGGCGGCCAGAAACACGCCCTCGTTCAACATCCAACCTCATCAAACTGGCCATCATAACCGCTTGATGAGGATATATGGGCGTGGTACTTTTGCAGAACATCCCCA